GCTTCGGATGGAGAAAAGAAGTTATTTATAAGTATGAAGGGTTAGAATACGTCCTTGAATTCAGGACTGTGCTTGACAGGATACATCAAATCTTACTCAACAAAAGTATTACTGAAGAATTTATATTCAAATTTAAGTTGTCTGTTGATAATGTAAGTAAATATAAAATTATCAAAAAAAATAATAATAAATAAATAAATAAATAAATAAAAACCAATTATTAATGTTTGATTTCATAACTTAAGGTAACTGGTCAGCGTCAATATTCAGATATGTATGACTCTGGCTGGTGGAAAAATGTAGAGCAAAACATTCCAATTGGAGCATACGTTATGCCAATCATCCTTTACTCAGACGCTACTCTCTGCGACCATTTAGGAAAAACATCAAGACATCCAGTATTTATGACTCTAGGAAATATTCCTTTGAACCGCCGCAACAAAATAGATGCAAAAATTTTACTTGGTTATATTCCTAGTCTTGAGTATAATAGTACATCTCAAAAGCGGTCATCCCAATTTCGATCAGCAACACGTAAACTTTTTCATCGTACGTTTGCAGCTATGCTTCGACCATTAAGATCTCTAAGCAATACTGGTATTCATCTCTATGTCAATGAAAGTCTCAAATGGTTTTATCCACATTTGGCACTTATAATTTCGGATTGGCCCGAAGCATGTATGTTATGCGCTACTTATGGGTCACCAAATTCACTACATCCATGTCACTTTTGCTTAGTAGATCGCGGTGAAATGAATAATATCTATTTAAAAAAAGAAAAGATGGTCATTCGGAATGAGAATACAACTAAGACTTTTTTACGCCAAGATAATGGCAAGAAAATTTCTGTACATCATATTAGAAATGCATTGTGGAAGCGACCGTAAATGAATTTAATTTATATAAATAACACTGCCAAAAATTTAAAAATGCCAAATTAAACATTATTAGCAAGACTATCATGTGTTTTCGCGGACATGTATGTCCGCGAAATTACGTGATAGTCTTGCTAATAATGTTGAATTTGGCATTTTTAAATTTTAGTTACCGGTACTGAATATAGTATATTTTTTAACATACAATAATAAATCTATTCATAGGTACTTTAATGTCTACACTATGTGTGTGCCAGACCGCATGCACCATGCGGATCTCGGGCTTTTTCAGTATCAGTTACGGTTTACTGTTGAGCTATTGAACTTAAATTATGGCAGTGGCCCAACAAGAATTCTTGAGGAACGTCTTTCTCAAATCCCTCATTATCCAAATCTTAAGGCTTTTAAAAATGGGTTTGAGAGATTTAATCGGTTAACTGCATCGGAGTATCAAGATTTAATGAGAATAATGATTTTTGTCTTGGACGAGTTAATACCCGACAGAAATCTCAATAAACAATTGTGTGACCTTTACTCATTTTGGATTGACATGAACATTTGGAGTCATCAACCAAAATACACCAGATCGGATCTCAATAAATTCGAGGTATTAATAATAGTCATTCAAAAAAAATAAATAAATAAATACTATCTTAATAAATTAATTAACTTTTTTTTTTTTTTTTTTTAACAGAGATCGATTATCACTTGGAGTGATTTATTTATCAAATTAATGTCAAATTTTTCACGTTCTAATCTAAATTTACCCAAATTACATAGCTGGCGGTATCACTTATTGCCATCAATCTGTCAGTTCGGGTCTCCTAATGGATATACAAGTGAGACGTATGAATTATTACATAAATTTAATGTTAAACAGCCTTATCGTATGACGAACAAGCGAAATGTTAATTCACAAATTCAAGCAAGTGTAAGTAATCACAAATGATGTGATACCAGTAAAGAATTGCAAAACGAATAATTTAACAATTTTTAAAATCTTAGGTAACTCGTCAAAACATCTTTGCATCTTTCAAATCAAAGTTTTATTCACGGACTAATAATAACTTATACTGTGGAATCACTTCAAAAAAAGCCATTAAGAAGATGACACAGCACACAATTGATCAAATTATAAATCAGCTAGCAGATGTAAACGAATTATGGAGAGATGGTTTTAAACAACTTAAATGCTGTATTTATGACTATCTTCAAGGTGTCGAGAATTGGTCATTACAAGATATAGAGAACGAGACAATCTTTATTGAAGTATTCAAGTTTGCTTATTTAGAAGGCAGTTATAAGGCAGTTATCCGTGCGTCCTCTAATTATTATGGGCAAGCAGCTTTCTCAGATGTTTGTATTGAAATGAATAAAACAGAACAAGATGATTATTTAACAGATAATGGCTTATGTTATGCGAAGGTACATATTAATTTAAAAAAAATTATACATTTAACTATAATAGCAATATTTTAACTGTACTGTAATTTAGGTTCTTCTTATTCTTCGGATCGCATCCCCGAAATTAGGCCAGAAACTCGAACTTGCTCTCGTTCATTGGTATGACTTTGCATATCCATCTGATACACATCGTCATTATTTTTATAAATGCGCAATACTGAAATATGTTGAACACTATACCTTAATTCCTATTGCTTCAATTACGGATATAGTACACATTATACCAAAATTTAAAGAATCTAACATTTTTTTTGTAAATAAATATATTTAATATTGTATATATTATTTATAGCTTTCTTAATTGTAACATTTAATCGCATCGCTATTCAACAAAATGAGTCTTAAATATCTGTAATTGAATTTAATATGAATTTATTATTATGATATATAGTATAATGTTATAGTGTAATAGTTGGAATTTCTATTTGATTGATCAGTTATACTTTAGCACGGGTAGAATTAGAACTTCGTATCTATTATTCGAATAATATTTGTATTCGGCGATGATGAATAATTCGAATACCATATTTTATTCGAATAAGTAATTTTCATTATTCGTCATGTGAGACTTTAGCCATTGGCTGATTTACACATAGTAGCATTGGGATCCGATCAACTCACCGACAATTACTTCGTAGACACCACATTTCATCGACAATTACTTATCAACAAGTTCATTTCACCAACAGTTTATTTCACCGAAGCTCATTTTACAGACAAAGTAATTCTGGTCAATTTCATTAGGGTTGGGTTAGAATTAGAGTTAAAGTTAGTGTAATTTATAAAAAATACTTGTCTTTAAAAATGAGCTTCGGTGAAATAGATTGTCAGTAAAATTAACTTGTCGATGAATAGTTGTCGGTGAAATATGGTGTCTATGAAGTGATTTTCGGTGAAATAATACGGACCCAGTAACAATATATGATTAGCTGCTTTGTATTCAATAATTAATTTATCTAGTTGCGCAAGGCATTTAATTAGCGTCAGAGAAGTACTTTTAAAAAGTGAAATTTTAAATGGATTGGGTTGTAGTGGCATTGGGTTGAACTATTTCTCAACCCACTTCAACTTGGGTTAAGCTCAACCGAAGCCACTTCAGATTTGCTTAAAGTTGCTCTAGTTCGCTTTAGGTTTACTTCAGCCTGGGACCTGTAAAATTTTAAATATAAATTTTTCACAAAAAATCTTAAATTCTAGAAAATTTAACTAAAAATTTCCATATTATATTATAGTTTGTGTTAGATAGGAATGG